GAACATGTGAGGAACATGTGAGGAACATGTGAGGACGTCTAAAAAACAGCTTCAGTGAGTTTGAGTGAATTTCAAAGAGCAGGACGTTGTTCCTCCACATTAAAACGACACTGACCTTGTCTGGAAGGCTGTTGGACATGATGTCCACTTGGAGGGAGACTGTGTCCACAAAACTCTTCCTCCTGGTGAGACGGTCTTCATCTGCAGGAAGACACAGAGACACGGAGACAGTTCAACCCCAGACTCACATCAGCTGTTTAAACTCGAACGTACAGGAGGGACAATCCCGTCTGATGCTGCATCAGAGTCTCTGCCACCAGGGGGCGATCGTGTTTCTTTCTCTGATAAGTTTCTTTTACCTAAAGGTTTTCGGTCGGTGCCGTCACATCATCCGTGTTCTCACGTTAACTGAAATCTAAACAACAAACTGTTTTGCACACGTCCGAGCCGAGAGAGTCCGCTCTGATGCTCTGGTTCAGTACAACAAGGAGACAAATGATTGGATCCCGCAGGACAATAAGCTCCTCAGGACCCCCGTCCCCCAGCAGCGCTCGTCTGACGAGCGTCGGAGGAGGAACGGAGGTGTAAAAACAGAGAGAACACAGAAAGAGAAAACAGCAGCGCTTCATAGCTGTTGTTTGATGAGTCACTGTGACCTTTGTCGAGATCAGGTGTGACTCAGCTGCCAGACTTCGGGCCTTAATGAGCCGACGGATCTGTGGAGAAAGGTTAGAGACCCAGACACAGTATTTACATCTGACTCACTCTATTATCTACGACTAAAAACCGATGTAACGAGGAGCGAGAGAGAAAACATGAATGATGAAGGAAACACGTTCTTCAGTGTGTGTGGTGGAGAGGGTTTTCTGTCTGTAACAGGAATAAACATCAGACATGTTCACTTCAGCTCTCGTGGATTTAAATCTGGTTTCATGCAGAGAATGTTTTATGCATTTTACTGCCATTCAGGTTTAAACTGGTTCCAGTGTGAACAACCTGCCCAGACACTATCGATCACAACCTTTTTACATCAAGACTTCAGCAAACACAAAGTACTACAGTACACATAACCTGCGTAGTTTCATGTACTCACCAGAACACGTCCAGAAGAAACGCAAGAAAAATAATTTGCAAAAAGGTTTAAAAGTGTTGTTTTTAAATCATCACGTCTGCAGATACACAACTTCACCATCACTGGAAACGAGACAAACTACAAGTCTACAACAGTTTGTCTGAAGCTGATGAATCAGCCGAGGCTGCGGACGGACCAAATAAAAACATCTGAAGGAGACATGGACCTCTGAGAAGTTTCCCTCGTCCGGATCCTGATCCCTCAGACGTGTCCGCAGACTCTTTACTGGTCTCAAATGTTTGTGGCAAACGTGTAAATGTTGTATTCAGTTCAGCTCCGAGACGACGAGGATGAAATTCATCTTTCATCCTCGTCAAGAGAAACGTTTTATCTCCTGGTGCCAACCAGACAACACAGACCAGTTTTAAAGCCACGACGACAGCAGCAACCTAACGTTCTACTCTACACGTTTACCTCTGGACGTCTGCTTGCACCTGTGGAGGATTTTTCCGACTGTGTAAAGAACTGAGTCAGACGGAAGCACGACAGAGGGAAGAGAGCAGAAGCACAAACAGAAGAAGTCAGTGAGCAGTTTTTAAAGGTCTTAATTCATCGCCTCCTTCAGGGAATCACATTTCTTTGTAAGTGTTGTTCAAAGAGAGATTTTGAAATAATGAACCTGAATCTTTTGTTGTTCTCATGTGAAATACAACAATAGACAACCTTCAGTGTAATGAAGCTGATCATGCAATACGTTTTTTTAAAAGTTCATTTCCTGTTCACTAAACTCCGTAAACTGTTAATCCTTCAAAGACCGTTTGGCTGAATCTTCACAAGGAGCCGACAGTTTGAAAACTCTGTGTTAGATCCTGTAATCTGATTTCAACTTAACCTCTGGAGTACTTGTAGCACATGTTCTTTACTGCGCTCGTTCCTGTTTGATTTAAAGATGTCGAACATAAAGTAGAACGTTTTCTTATGGCAGCTGAACATCAGGTGTGAGAGGTTCCTCAGACCAGAAGAGGAGTTCAGGGTCTGGATCAAACTGAACCATGGAACAGGAAGTAGAGACACATTAAACCATAGAAGAAGAAGAAGAGGAAGAGGAAGCAGCTGCGGTCTTCACCTCCGATGATAAAATGTTTGAACCACGAGGACGTTCATGTGGAGCATTTGAAAGATCGACAAGTTCTACTCATTTAAACTATTTTTAAATTCCGGTGAAATTTTTAAATTTCTGTGTTAAACTCAAATCGACGATGTGAGAGTGAAACCTGGTTTGGTTTCTGGAGCTCCTCCCACAACTCAGCCTGTAAACGTGATCGGTCGTACCTGTCACTTGGGGAACGTAGGGGATGGACAGTCGCTCTGCGTTGTATCCTGGACCGGCCAGACACTCGGCCATGTCCGACGTCTGGAAGTACAAGAGTCTGTCGTCCTTGTCCAGAGATTCAGGAAGTCTGAGGAGGAGACAACGTGTTTGCATCTATTGTGATGAGCTTAGATAACGTTCAATATTCAGAATCCCCGAGACCGAATGAATCCAGAACTTTCAGTCCAGGGAACTTTTTCACAGAACCAAAATGTTCCCTCAGAGCGGTGGTAAGAAATGTAACGTCCACCTCACCGAAGGTTTTAACTTCACACCAGCGAGAAACAATGATCCACATTCATCATTCTTTAACCGGAGGTCATCCCATCAGGTCGTGTAAACTTACATACACTTGTCTCTGAAGATGTGCTCTGGGAGCAGGTATGGAGCGTCCATGTTTCTCAACTCGATAACCTGGACACAAAACCACAGACACAAAACCACAGACACAA